ACGATCCCAGGCCACACCCCTAGTTTTATCAGAATTCTTTCGAGCTACCCTGTTTACAGACAGAATGACACATATGCATGCAAGCATTAACCTTCTTGGGAAGTTAATAAAGGAAAACAATACCTAAACCTTAAAGAAGGGGTACAATGGAATAAAAACATGAAAATTAAATATTAGAGATTTGAAAAAAAGCACAATGGCACAGTGATTAGCACTTTCACTTGATAGGAGAAAAGTCCTTGGTTTGAATCCAGTCTGGGAGTTTCTGTGTGGAGTTTGTGTTGGTCTCCTTGTGTCTGCATGGGTTCTCTCAGTGCACTCTGGCTTCCTCAGGTCTTTGGATTGTGACTCTAAATTGGCTATAGGTGTGAATATGAGCACGGTTGTCTGTGTTAGTCTTGCGACTGATTGGCGACTCATCCAGGAAGGACTGTGTCTCTTGCCCTGGGATAGGCTGAAGCTCTCCTGTGCCCTTAAATCGGATAAGCAAAAGAAAATGAATGGATTAAAAGAAAAAAGAAAAGCCTGTGAAAAAAGAAAATATGCATCCTCAGGCCACACTGATTCAAGCCTGTATATTCAAGGAGTGTCTCTTTCGAGCGGCTTCTTCCCAAACCTTCACCTCACCGCATTCACTGAATATCATGAATAGAATTATTTGCTTCAGTGAAATTTCCTGCACCACGAGAAATGATGTTACTGCGTTTTGTTAAAGATTTTTGTCCTTGCATGACCCTTCAAAATGCTGCTACTACATCTCTTGTATGACGACTTTGTATAATGGAGCTGTGACATCGTCATAGTGGCTTTTTGACTCTAAGCCAACAGACCAAAGCACAGCTGTCCCTCTGTAAGATCCCCCTTCTGGAGGATTACTGATCTGGGACCAGCTGCTCTATTAGAACAAAAAGTGGTACATAAGTCTGCTCCTTTTCCCAGGAGTCAAACCCACTCTCATTTCCGGGGGGGAGTCAAACCCACTCTGCCCAGAAATATAGATCTCACACACAGAGAAAGGTAACACGTGCATGTGTGTTTGAATGCAGCGCAAGTTAAATACAGAAACCATTACAGGGGAGTTTGCTTGTCTTGTTTGTGAGTGTTGCCACATTAGGGCAAAGACATGGAAATGAGAAATGAATTATACTCTTTACTCTACAGGGGGATTAGATTAACCATCTCTGATCATGTTCATGTCATTAGTTTCAGCATGTTTTCAAGTGGGACAAACACCTGGCCACAGTGGAAACACTGTACCCAGGGGCAGGTGTATTAGTCAAAATATTCTCATTCAGCCAGTCATAATTCCTCCGCACTGTGTGAGTGTCTGAGATCAGCTGCACACCACTCAGTGTTGTTGAGGGAACAGCAATGACCTCATGACTCACTAATGGCAACCGAGATGAATGATTTTAATGGGAATGAGAGGGGGCACTTCTGTACTGACTGGAGAAAATGGGGACATGAATAGAGGAGGTAATTGACTCGATGTCATGCCTAGATCTGGAGCATCGAGTCCTGCAAATCAAACCAAGATTTCAGCAGCTCTGTTAACAGCAAACATTGATATCAAATAGATAAAAGTCCATCAAAAACACTGGTGGTAATAGGATTTTCCTGCTTTTAACCCACTTTTTTACTTTTTCTTTTTTTATTTCTCTCTGTCATCTGTAAAGCTTGAAACCAGTACCACCCTCCTCATCTTCAGAGCTATCAAATCTGTTCCCAGGACACCAATCAGCAGGCAGCGATCTAATCATAATTGCTACAAACCTGCTAATTGTGAAATCCCCCTTCCCATTTTACACTCTAATATCTAATTTGCGAGTGAGATGAATTTAAAGGCTTACATAAGTTGCCATAAAAAGAGGGCTGCAACCCCCTGCTCGCTCCATCTAAGCCATCGTCAGCCAATAAATGACCACACGGGCGCTGTTGCTAAGGAGCTGCTGGCTCAAGGTCAGCTGACCTAGCTGTCAGTCACAGTGATTTATCACCAGTCAAACCCTGCGTAGCTCACGTTCTAATAAAACAGCCTTCAACACTTAGTACAGATCTGACATTATTTACTTCAGTGTGCGAGTTTCAGCATCAACTGATGAGTTTCTGTTGATGTTTCTTCCTTTTCTTGTATCTGAATGGCTTTCAGGGGATATCCCTGCTTACATTTGTAATATTACATGCAGGTAACTGCATTTAAGTAATTCAATTATGTTGCTATTGTTATCCCTGTCAGTTAGTTGTTGATAAAAGCATGCAGTTAAATTATAATCGCCTCGCCTCTGTCAGTGCGCCCCAGGGTGGCTGTGGCTACAATGTAGCTTGCCATCACCAGTGTGTGAATGTGTGTGTGTGAATGGGTGGATGACAGGTTGTGTAAAGCGCTTTGGGGTCCTTAGGGACTAGAAAAGTGCTTTACAAATACAGGCCATTTATAATTGCTAATCAAATGTTGGTGTTAGTGGGTGACCTGCTCCTCCACCAGAGCTACGGTCTTGAGTATACAAGACAAAAATATTACATAAATATATACACACATATTGGTTTCCATACAAAAGGACTATTAACAAACATTAGAGTGGAAGGTTCAACTGCCAGCTGTGAAAATGCTCCAGGTGTGTGTGCATGTGAGTGTACACACACAGAAAAAAAAGATTTCAGTGAGCATTTTTATAAATCGAGGACATTTACTCTTCAGATTTAAAGTGAACTCTGAACAGGAGCCCCAGTCACTGCAAATTTATGGACTAATGGATTAAAACATTAGAGAGCAGAAATAGAAATAAATCCAATATTCAGAAAACCTGATTTGGTGGCGTCAGTTGTACAAGAATATCTTATACAACAAAGTTGGTGACTTTATCCACCCTCAACTACTAGATCCTCCAGACAGACAAACATTTTAAGCATGAGTTTTGTTTTTTGTTTTTTATTTCCTAATATATTCAACTTTTTTGGTAATTTTGTAATTTTGGTGGTTTAATTAATACTTTTTTTCCCCCTAAGGTGGAAATCTTTAATGACTTTAAGAAACAAGAATTGGATCCACAATCTAAACATAAAATCTAAACTAAAATCATTTTTCAATAGTTTAATAACTGGTGCTGAAGGTTCTACAGTGTCTTTTAACCTGAGACGGCCTTTTAACTTCGCCAAGGTCTAAAAGAACTTTCATCTTTGGATGAGATGAAATTCTGTTGAAAAGTTTTAGACAAAGATTGATCTGCTCACAATGACAAGAGGTATGTTTGGAGGCATAAATGTGAGGCTTTCAAACCTAAGAACACTGTACTAACTGTCTAGCATGGTGGCATCAGTTATAAAAATGCTTTACAGTAAGTCTCAAATTCCTGTTTATGTGCCAGAGGTGGCAGAGCTGATATGCAAGGTTCTTACTTGCCTTTGGGATCAACTTTGGGTTCGGTCACTTGATCAAGGACACTAGCTCAATGACCTGAGCCGTCATTACAAACTTACCCAGAAATGGAGAAGTACAAACTTGTGGGTGTGTGTTTTCGTAAATGTGCCTGTGTGAGTGCACTCAACTCATCTGAAACCTCACGTAAGCCTTGCAAAAGCTGCTTATCGGAAAAGACTCATCATGATAAACAACAGCTGGTAATGTTCACACACACGCGTGCACACACACACACGCACACACGCTAATGTCCAAACTGTCCCATCAGCAGTCAATATCTGATGTTGCTCAATTTCAGCCTGACGTGTAGAAAAAAAGCACCTTCTTTTATTCTTTTATGGGACACCTCTCTTTTCTTCCATGCACACATGAAGTTTTTCTCCACATCCTTCCCTTAAACATACTTCGCACGCACACACACACACAAATCTGAAAAAACAAACACCCACAGTTACACACACATGCACTGCAGACATACCGGTGAGCAAACACTGTGTTGCTGTACTTTGGAGCGCTGGATAAGGCTTTGAGTTTAGTGTCAAAGTCAGACAGACAACTGACAACGACAAGATGGCCAGAGTGTGTGCACTGGTTTGCTTTGCTGGTTTTTTGCTGGACATGTATGGAGTGGGTGCTGAGATCACAGAAGAAAACACAGGTAAAAAGCAGCAGAGCAGGTATTGACCCAGGTGGCAGGAAAATGAGTTCAGCAAAGTTTAGAGCTGCACAAAATATAGGAAAAGGCTGGTGGCTAAGCAGGTGATCACTGAATAACCTCGATTCTTAAAGTTCTTATTCACTTGGATCTGTAAAGATTCCTAAGTGCTTAGGCTGTCGGTGTAAATATTTTTAACCATTCATGAGGATTACTCAGGCCAGCCCTTATCATAACCCAGTGTGCTATTGTCCATCCACAGGGTTAGGGTGTAAATCTTAAATGTTAAGTTGATATAATTTAGACAATTTGGTGCTTGTTTGGTGGCTGTTTGCAAGACGTCTTGTGCTGGAAAGGCAGGGATGATAGCTGGACCACCGAGTTAGGTACATGTAGCAGCCAGTCTGGATTATCCTAAGCGGATGTAAAACTGTAGCAAGTATCAGCTCTTTGTTTGGCTCAATTAAATGATTAAGGTAAAGCATCATGTGTCAAAGGGATCACCAGATATATGAAGATGAGACCATAGCAGAGTCTCTACACAAGTGAGAACACCAATAATATGATTACTGCAGAGGAATATCATAGACTGTACATAGAAGATGGTCACTGGACAGCAAAGTTGTACATTTTTAGCCTCAAGCTGAGCTTTTTGGTCACCATAAAGGTGTTTTGATGAGTGCATTGTCGATCTGAATGAAAAAGTACAGAATTTCAGCCTGCTTCCAACAAACCCTGCTGCCAGATTTAAGACACTTCCGCGCTGGTTTCACTTTCAGTCCTGGTACCTGTCCATCTTTGATGTACTTTTATATTATGCATATAGGTTTTATATACATATATATCCCTGAAAGCAGCCTTTATCAATAGTTCTGAATAATTATGCTAAACTTAGTGAGGACTCTTTGTCTTTTGTTACCCTTTCAGGAGCTGTGTTCGTGTCTCAGCAGACGGCACACACCGTGCTGCATCGTAAGCGCAGATATAACACTGCTTTTGAAGAACTTAAACAAGGTAACCTGGAGCGGGAATGTATGGAAGAAATTTGCAGCATGGAGGAGGCCAGAGAGGTGTTTGAGGATGATGAGAAAACTGTAGGTCTCTCTCTCTCTCTCTCTCTCTCACCACACACACACACACACACACACACACACACACACACACACACACACACACACACACACACACACACACACACACACAATCCTATGCCTTTACCAGTATTAAGATCTTGACTGTTTATATCTCCAAAAGTGGGCAGTTACAGTGGTCTAGTGATCAGAGCTTGATGGATGGTTGGTGAACTTCCCATTTAATTTGATCTTCCTTTTGCAGATGGAGTTCTGGGCAGGCTATATCGGTAAGACGAACAAAGTACAAGTTCTCATGTTTGCTGAGAATTTATAGCACACAGTCTTCTCTAAACCTGTGGTGTGATCTGTCGTGTGTAGATGGCGACCAGTGTAAGCCACCCCCCTGTCAGAATGGAGGTGTGTGTAAAGATGGGATCAACAGTTATCTTTGCTTGTGCCAACCAAACTTCAGTGGCAAGAACTGTGAGACTGGTGAGTGTGGATCTGAATAACTCGGCTGAAACAACATTTGAGCTAAGACCATAAAGTTTTGTCAACGAAAGCTAATTCTGTTTTCCTGACTTTTTCCAGAAATGAACAAGCAGTGTTTGGTGAACAATGGCGAATGTTCTCATTTCTGTGTAATGAAGGCTAATCAAGCTGTGTGCAGGTGCGCAACTGGTTACATACTTGGGCCAAACAAGAAGAGCTGTGAGCCAATAGGTAAAACCACACGGAGCATTTAGTGCAGTGGTAAGAGCGTTTTGTTTTGTTTTTTTCTGCACGAGTGCTTTCTAAAAAGGTAACCACAGTCTATGTGAAACATCTGCACCCATAGAAGAAATTCGATTCACATTAAATTTAAAATTTAACTTACTAAATACATTTTCCATTAACATTGGATTATTTTTCATTCTGACTTCAACTACAATACAGTTTCTAAGGTTTTACATATGAAGACATAATAAAAAAAACAACCTTATCTTTATCAGGTTTTAATATTTGCTAAATACAGTTAGAAAAAAAAAGACTGAACAACTATGGCTTGTTTAGAAGCCTCTAAAGAGCATGGCAGTAAAGCATGGCATTGGCTATGATTTGGGCTTGTTTTGAAGCAGATCATCTGAGTCCCTTGTAGTCAATGGGTCAACCATGAACTCCTCTGTATACCAAAGTGTTTAAAGCCAAGTGTGAGGCCATATGTGTCCAGAAGAATGATCCTGAGCAGAGCAGCAAATCTACAACAGAATGGCTGAAAAAGAAAAGAATCAAGGCATCGCTATGGCCCAGTCAAAGTCCAGAACTCAACCTGATTAAAATGCTGTGGTGTGACAGTAAGAGAGCTGTGCATAAACAAATGCCTGCAAACCTCAATGAAATGAAGCAACGTTGTAAAGAAGAGTACTGAGATACTGATAAAGCCACAAAGAAAAACCATTAATTTAAGATATTGCTGCTAATGGTGGTCTGGAAGCTACTGAATCACGGAAGTATATAGTTTCTTTTATATTGCATCTGCATTTCGGCTTAGTTTTTGTTACATACGTAATGACTTGGAATAATATTTCATTTGTTGTTGTTTATCCATGGTTGTATTTACCTCATTTAAAAACCAAGTACAGATTAGTTAGCTTTTTACAATGTCCTGATGCATGAAACCTTAGAAAGGACGAACCGTGTAGTACCATGAATACATGTAAATTTTATATTCCACAGAGAGGCAACAATCATAAAGGAAATAAACTTTCATGTAAATATTCATGATGATTGTTCAAAATGCAATTGTTCCTCCTCATACTTCTCCTGAAGTTGTCTTCCTAACACGTCTCCAGTGGAAGTGGTGGGGTGCAAAATTTATAGTTCTCATTTTTACGCTCGTTCATGCTTCTGCAGCCGGACTAAGTAAATCTTCTTTTCTTTTATCACAAAAAACATTCAGGGAACTTAACAGTAATCACATTCATCTATGATACACTGCTTAAACATAATATAACTGGACTTTGCTAAAGATGAAGTGTTCAAAGGGAACAGAAAGGAAAGAGGTATTTTTCTTTTCTTTTTTTTCTTTCTATTTTTGGGTCAGCAATCTGCACATGTGAGAAAAAATCTGAAGAACTATAGTTCCAACCCCATAAAAAATGACAATGTAAAATTTAAACAAATCTATGAGGCAGAAATGTAATATTTTCCCTATTATTTCACTTTTATTTCTCCAGAGCCATTCAGCTGTGGTCGTGTGAATCTGTCCTCCAGCTCTCTCACCAGGTCCATTCTCGAACCAAGATCGTCAAACTTCTCCTACAACGATACCCGAAACGATTACTTCTATGATGAAGATATATCAGAGTATGATTATCTGAACCATCCCATGACCGACTCAAACCCGAGCAATGACTCTCTGGACTCTGAGGCTGTGATTGGCCGTCGACATGTGAGAAGTGTCACCGATACACCAAAAACAAAGACAGAGATGTCGTCCTGGGGGTATGCCACACTCCCCAATGTCACAGCTCAAGAGAAAACTGACCAAAGAATTGTGGGAGGAGATACGGCCATTCCTGGAGAGATACCTTGGCAGGTACTGTGATATAGGCTGGAGAGGGAAGAGCTGGGGATGCAGTGAAGGCCAATATGTGAAGAACTGGAACCAAAAATCCCAGCAGGGCAAGAACATTTGCACGAGTTTTAGATGTAGCTGTAAAGTAAGACGTAAGCTGTAATCCTCGAATAGTCAGCAACTTTTAAATCTGTGCAATAGTTTAAATAGAAAGACTTTTGAATAGACTTTGACATTTAAACTTGCACTTGAGCGCCAGGTTTAATAAAGATGTATTAGAGGTGTAAGTCTAGTGTTTGAAGCCTGTGCCATGCAGAGAGAACGTGCTGCTTTTGAGTGTTTTTTGTTTTCAGTTGCTCAAAAAATGTGCAAGAAATGGTAGGTTCTTTAAAACTGCTCTTCTGTTGCAAGTTTTCTTTGCCTTTCTTTCTGTGTTTGAAGGTGGCCCTGATGTCCCGCCCAGACAGCGTGCAGAGAGCGCGGCCCTTCTGTGGAGGATCCCTGCTCGCTGACTTATGGGTCATCACTGCTGCCCATTGTCTGTGGAACAACGATGGCACAGAACGTAAATTCTTCATCAGAGTTGGTAAGAAGAACAAAGGCTACTTGCATTCTTTAACATTAAATCTTTCACTTGAACTAAAGTACAGATAATACTGTTTTGTCCTAAAGTATTAGGGATCAGGCAAATCCTTTTTCGTTTCAGCTTCATGGCTTTTTAACAAATTATGTTTCAATTATGTTTCTTTAATGTTTTTTTTTACAAGTTGTCCAGTACTTTAGACTTTGCTTCCTTGTGCAGAAATTTACATTATCTTAGAAAATCTTTATCTTAATCTATGCTTCCAGGTGAACATGATGTGAACAAAGATGAGGGTCCAGAGCGAGACCATGAGGTGGCCGAAAGGCATCCCCACCACAAGTATGATTTCAAGACCTCACCATATAACCATGACATTGCGCTCCTAAAGCTTGGCAGTCCAGTGGACTTGTCCAACAAGCGGCGTCCCATTTGCCTGGGCCCCAAAGACTTCATACAGAACATTGTGAGAGAATCCACGGTCTCCCTTGTGAGTGGATGGGGCCGGATAAGGTTTCAAGGCCCCGAGGCCACCAAGCTCCAGAAGCTGGAAGTCCCCTATGTGGACCGCACCAAATGTAAACAGAGCAGCCGAGACCATATCACCCGATTTATGTTCTGTGCAGGCTTTGAAAGTGAACAGAAGGACTCGTGCCAGGGGGACAGCGGTGGGCCGCATGCCACCAATTACAAAGGAACTTGGTTCCTGACGGGCATCATCAGCTGGGGAGAGGAGTGTGCCAAAGACGGGAAGTATGGCATCTATACCCGGGTCTCACACTACTACAAATGGATTAGTAACGTAACACAGATCAATATAAACGATTAACAGGATTCATGAATCAGCTGTAAAAATAAACAAGTAGCATGTGTTGAGTTTAGCCCCCGAGGAAGTGAATGAAGTGAGAAATCCCCCGTGTTCTTTTTTAGTACCTCAATAAAACATATCAACTTATCTGAGTGTTTGAGTATCATATGATGATGACAAATATGATTTAAGCAAATTTGCATCTACAGGAAGCTCTATATGAATACCCCATTTTATCAATGAAATGAAGTGGTAGTGAATTTTGCTTGGCCATTATCCTGCTCTAAGACGCGCCATAACACTAACAAGAGGATTATAGACGTATCGTTCAAGCAAAGGCTATACAAAAGGGACAAATCACATCAGTCAAGCTGAAACAAGTCCAGTGTTTATATTTTCAGAAAATAATTCTATACATAATCAGTATTATTTAAAAAAATACAGTGCAAATAAGCAAAAGCAGCAAACACCAAGTTAAAGCACTGCCACGAAAAACGCTAAAGCCTAACTGAACTAATCCATTAATAACTTCTGATGTTACAGTGCAGCCAGCGCTGGGTGGATTTCAAATCAATTTAAAGTGATGAAATGTTATTTAGTATTGCGTATCAGTGAACATGCTTCATTTGGATGGTCGAGCGCTCACTGTCAAACGATTCAATGCTCCCACTGTGGGTGCTGAATACCGTGAAAATTAATCTTTACTTAGTGTACAAGCTAATGTTGGATTTACTGCTACTACAAGGATTTGATTCAAATATTCTTGCAATAAATTCATTTCTTCACTTGATAGCAGAGTATGAGCGTCTGTCTGTCCAAAGCAGTACCACCATTCAGACTAAAACACTGACTAAAATGGTGTTTAACGTCTACAGTTTCTATTTTTAATGTTTATATGGTCACAGTCTGCTGCAGATGTCTAAATAAGCTGCCAGCAACTCAGATAATTACACTACATCAGTCAGAGATGAGCTCTCAGCTCATTTCCAGTTGAGTGGCAGTGTTTTTGTGAGCACTCTGCACACTTCACACACTTTTCTGGGCAGCTGTAAAACAAGGCAGTTCAAAATGCATTTCCATATTCTCAATGAACCCCCTCAAATTTCATATTCACAAATATGCTCAGGTGACAACTCCACATTATTCTTTTTAAAGGCAGTACCAAACACTGAGCATCGTTTCTCATTGCAGGTGGAAATAAAGCTGCAGTCATATGTAGGGTGTAAGATACCCGTGCACAGCAGCAAGCAATCAATCAATATGGTAAAGCTTGACAGTGATGAGGGTTTTAGCTCTAAAAGACTAGATGATGGAAAAGCTACTGAATCAAATGAATAAAAAAAGCATAGCAGAGAATATAACTTTCATTAAAAACTATATTATCACCATAAATAACAGCAACCTAGTCCTAGTATAGACTCTTCATAAAAGAGTCTTTTTTTCAATAAAATACAGGAAATATTTAAACTTGTCATACCAGGAGAGGATCTGTTCGTATCAGTGTTCCTGGACTCCAAAGCACGAAGTAGCAAGGATGTAGGATTTAGACCTAATTTAATCTGGTTGTTCAAAGTGCACTGACAGAGGTTTCTTGTTCTTTTAATTACCAAAATTGTGATCAGAGATTACAGGAGAAGGACTTTGAGGTCGAGGCCTTTGGTGTCCTGTTATGACCCGGGGCAACATTTTGTGTATTGCATTTGGTCTTCCACAGTTTGGGGTGGCACCACAAGATGATGAATTGATTCACTTTGTCATATACTGTGTCAATAATAACGACTACAAATGTTCTAGTTTTCTAAATTTTTGGCAGATTGTTTATAAAAACTTCAAACTCCCAAACTAACTTTCAACAATGTTTTGTCTGCCTTTCCTGCTATGACACGTCACTAAAGGGACCGATTATTCTCATTTCCAGCTCCATATGTTTTATTCTTGGAATCTACTTAAGCAGCTTGGTATGATTCAAAGTTCAGAATAATCATTTATCTCACACTAATTACACTAATAGTGCAGTTTCCTGTCCCATCCCTTTAAGCTAGCTCGTTTCTCATTTGCACATCATAAACATCAAACCCATTCTCACTGATGTCATTAAGAGCCGAGAGTAAAAGGAGCTGTATGAAACCAAGCATTTGGAGCTATTTGAAGCCTTATCTTTTAGCTTACAGGGATTACTCTGGCCATGCTTAATATGAGTAGCACTGCTGTAACAGGTAATTATTTAAGGAGACAGAAAAGTAAAGCATAATCGGTCCCTTTTAATTAAGCTAACTGTAAACAAGGGTATGCAGTAATTTTTTCCCACACTATGAGCACTGAGTGTCAAATTGTCTAGAGCTAGTATGAAAGCTGAAACCTGGAAAACTAAAATGCCATATTTTCATTTTTTTTCTTATTTTGTTTTCTTTTTTTTATCACATAAACAAAACTGACAGACATTCAGTGTTCACTTTGGCTGCTAAGAGGCGGCAACGACGTAACCAGGGCATTTCTGCATGACAGTTAGCTTAGCTGTTTGGCACAAGAACAGTAATGATATGTTGGTAGACATGATGTTTCATAAGAAAATAGAAATTATACAGCTTGACGTCTAGAACAAAAGTCCACTCTGAACATATAAATAAAAGCCCCTGTTTAAAGTCTTCAGTCCAAAATAATCTGATGTACTACTGCCGGAGAAGGCAGAGCAAAGGATGGCTTGTATGTGCTTTCCACTGTTAAAGTCTTCTGAGGTTCTTTCTGGAGGTCACAGTCTTCAGAGGTGAAACTCTCACAGCAGTTTGAGGAGTAAAGTCTGTGGCTGATGTTGTGCTTCATTCTGATTGACAAGCAGATTCAGATGCCCATTTTTTCAGGAAGTTGATGGTATATATAAGTCTGTATGTGTCTGTACACATGGAAGGATATTCAGGCAAAGTGTGAGGAACAAACAGGCACAGTTCTTCATTCATCCTCTGTCCTGATTGGCTCTCAGCACGTCTCTCCCAGAATCCTATGCAAGTCCTCGGGTAGGACGCGGCCTTCTTCACCACGACTTATATTCTTCACTATCCTGCAGTTACACACAACGCAGAAAATCTTTTTAAACATCTCAACATTTGAAAATGGTTGAATTCAAGATTTCTGAAGAATGTGGCCTATCTTACCACATTCCTGATGAATCCTCATGCAGCAGCTGGATGACATCACCACAGTTAAAGATGATGTCATCAGAGCTGGCCATGGTGCTCTCTACCATCACTCTGTACCTGCCCGCCACCTGGAACAGAGTAAAAACAATTAAAACTGAGGGAACAGTGTATAAAACCCTTTGCCACGTGAATGAATAGACAAGACAAATACATATTTACTCATTTAGGAACTCATAAACCACCACAGGCCGCAAAGAGCATCATCGCACAAAGTATCAGTGTACAATAGATGATACGTCAGTCACAGTGTCCTTCATAGTCATATTGGATGGGGGAAAAATATCAAGAAGGCAGGTCTTATCTAATATCAGTCTCCAGTAGGAGGTAATGAAAAGAGGAAGAAGAGGAAGGAACTGCCAGAAAAGAAAGTTGGAGGATCTTTTTAAAAAACAAAGTCATAAGACTTATAGCTCTTATCCTAATGATATTTTGAATTCTGGTGTAAGAAAATGTCAGGCTGGATGCCACCACTCATTTGAGGGAGGTCTACTAGGTTCAGGTAGGACCTTCCACCTGCTGTAGCTGCACAGCTTAATGTTCATAGTTTTCCCTTAAAGAGGCGGTAGACTTCATGCAAACACAAAGAAACAAACAAAAAATAAGAGCTAGAATTTTAAAAGCTTTAGTAAGTCCCTCCCATCAGGCAAGCATATTTAAACTGCTTTTAGTAGTCCATGTTCTCTGCATAACCACATCTCAGTTTCTGTGTGAACTCTGTGCATATCTCATGTGACAGTAACAAAATCTCACCAGTGGGGCAGGCTGGTCCTCATCCTCCTCCTCTGAGTCTGATAAAGTGGAGAGGTCTGTAGCACCCCAGTCCTCCAGGCCCTCACAGATTGCCACTGAGTGAGCATTCACAGGCCAACCTACAGATGAAAGACAGCTAAAAGAAGTGAAGTGAAACTGCAGAATTTTTCTGTTTCTTTGTTTTGGTAAATGAGAAAATTGAACAGTTAAGTGTTAGTAATGAAATACTCATGGTAAAAAATAAAGGTCAGTAAGGTCATTTCCAAAAAATCTGAAGTCCATCATTCTACCCTAACAAAGGTTATCCACAAGTGGAAAACATGCAGTACAGATGCTAATCTTCCCAGTGGACATCCTAGAAAATGTTCACTAAAGTGAGACCATGCAATGCTGAGAGAAGCTGCAGAATACCCATGTTAAATGTTAAGGTTCATGACAGTGCAATTAGAAAAAGGGGAAAACCTCTTATCTATAAAAAGATGGTAGGGCATGATAAAAAATCAAATATCAGCACAAACACCTCAAATTGCGGTTTCAGGGTTAAGGTTACAATTAGGTTATGGTTAGGTTTAGGGTTAAATATTCATTTCTTATGGTTCAGGTAAGTGGCTAGGGAAAGCTCCTGTCGATTTGATGTCCTCGCTAAGGTGTAAAAACAAGTGTGTGTGTGTTTGTATTCCATTTGTCCAACTCACTGCGTCGAGGTGAATGAACCACAGGATCAGAATGGGCGGGGCTAGTGTGTAGTGACTCCTCCCCTCTGGGAATGTGGGAGTGGCTTGTTGTAGAGGAGCTGTGAGGAACAGGGAGACACGCTGAGCAGCCTCCCACCGGCACGCTGCCCCACGACACACACATCTCTGATGCACTAAACCACATCACAATGGGAACAAGACCAACGAGCACAACAAACAAAACAAACAACAACAACGACATCCACGGTGTCACGAGCTGTTACCTCAAACACAGTCAGTAAATTAACACAACATTCCACTCAGGTTACAGTCACATATATTTCAGCGCCTGATTTCAAAGGATGTTCGAGGTTATCACATGAAAATCATTTATATCATAGATCGCTGCAATATATGGAAATATTATTTCTACAATATTCTACACAAACACGCATAACAGGCCCTGATTAAAGGGCATTTGCAAATAATTTCCACGTGTGCTTCAACCTGCTTTATGTAGTAGATGGGTGAAGCTCATCCCATTTAATACAATAACTAGAAAGAACATTAACGCAGTACAATAATAATTGTCTGAATGTTTTAAGCCTTCCCATCTGCTAAATAAAGCAAACACTGCAATTACTTACAAATACTGTGAGGCCTACACAATTGTTAGATCCACATATCATTCAAAGAGTGGCAATCCTTACAGTATTTCATCATCCATAGTGTATATTAGTAAGAATCCAAAAGTGCTTCAAGACAATGTCTGATCGGGGTTTTACCATGCTCAAATTCTTAAAAGAAATCGCTGGTATCATTTAATGTATGTCAACAACTCCCATGATAAGACCAACACTAACAATGGGTCGTGGTCCTCTTTGAGTTTTGTGTTAAAACATTTTAGTCTGAGTTTCTGTTTGGGGTTTTTTTTTTTAATCATTCTAGTGCTTAAAGTTTGTTGTACTTTTTAAAACTCTTTAATCCTCATTCCTGTGGTAAGATGACTTTTAGTTTTTTGAATTTACAGAATATTCTGCGTACGACTTTTCACCCTCAGTCTGGATCCAGGTAAGGAAATCCTGGATGCAATCACAGAACTGTAGCTACGGTCCCTTCCTCAGTTCAGAGATGATTTTTCCCTTTTCAGGTAAATGTCCTGCTTGACTGCTGGATCAAACCAGTGTTCCTCCCTGTCCAGGACGTGTACATTCTTATCACTAAAACAAGGGCCACCGGTCTGTAGGTGTAAATAGAGTTTTTTCCAGAGGATGCAGCTCTTCTGCTTAATCAGTTTTCCCCGATGTATAACTGAGAGCGATCCTCCTGGCACTTAACAGTGTACACTATATTACTCTGTTTTTACCGGGGGATAGGATCCTTGGTGTGAACCAATTTTGGGTGTAAAGTCTTCTGAGCTTGAAAGCCACAGAGACGTGTTTTGGAAAAAATGCATCAACTGAGACCAAAGAAATCACTCTGATGTGTTATGAAGTGCTTCTCTGACTGAAAACGCAGCAGTACTCACTTTTGTCATTCATGTTGTTCAGTCAAACTCTTCCTCTTTCTGTGTTTAGCATTTGTCTTTTGGGTACTTCCCCGTGGTGATGCTGAGCTTGCTTCATAAGGACCCCGTTTGCTTTATGGTTCTTCCTGTTTTTCTCTGGTACCTTTTGTTTCTCTTTTCAACTTGTGAATTTTGAAATCAGCCATTAAAGCTTGTGTGTAAATTAGTTTTGCATCCTACATTTTGGCCCTCAAATCTACCATCTCATCTGTCTCTGTCAATACCTTCTAACACCCTTTAAAATCTCCTGGTTCCCTATTAAAGATTTCTATAAATGCTCACAAATATGGATTTTAATTTTACATCAAATGTTTAATAATTCTTTATAGCTGTGCAAGTTATTTATTTATTTATTTTTTGAATTATAAATAATGCAACTGTTGTAACCTAGTGCCAGTGATTACAGCACTGCAACAGTATGTGTCATTGATATGTTTAAAAATGTTTCATGAACAGTGGAGGTCCAAGCAAAACCCGGCTGAGACTACAAATAACAACATTAGTTTTGATCTCTTTGTGGAAGCTGCTGACAAAGAGAAAATATACCAGTGTTGATAAATTTCCCATAAACTGAATCTCCGTGATCTTGCATATTGTGACACACACAAGGCTCAGCCATTACTTGACCTTACAACATGCTAGCATGCCACCTGTAAACATAAAACTGTTATCTCCAGAACAACTCCACAAACACACACCCACAAACTCCAACACACTGCAAAGCTCCATCACTGACAATACTTTGAATAGCTTGCGATCATCAAAGCAACAAGTGCAAGATATTAAAAAGAAAACCGCTCTAAAAGTAGTCTAACTTACAGTTACCTCTTCTAGCACATCCTATTACTTTAATGGTCACCACGGGATCAAGAATGTATCTGACAGAGTCACTTAAAAGAATGTGTTTAAAAGAACGTAATGCACAGCCTCCCTGTTACAGTCAGTAGGACTTTAAAGCATCTAATCAGGGACTGTTGCAGTGAGGTGAATATGCATGAATATGAAGAGGAATCAAAGCCCGGCAGCACAGAAAGAAACTGTAGCAGGCCTAAATTAAGTGAATGGCACTGTCCATGGTGCTGAAAACCAGCAGTTTTAAATATCAGAGCTGAAGACAATGTTGTGCCATCTGCAGGATTTGACAGTTAAAATCTCAAGGGTAATGACAAAGATGCTGATACATTCACATACGGAGCCACTGCGCACATGCACACTGACTCAGTAACATCAATAAACTGTAAAAAGATTATTATGAGAATTATGATTGTGGCGATGGCGGATATCCTGACTTGTAGGCGGGTGTTATGTGATCGGGAAGTCATTCCAGAAATTGGATTTAAGGGTCAAATCTCACAATCTTTTTCTTCACAGAATTTATCAAGCTTTAAAAGAATAGAATCGAGTCATCAGACTTAGGCTGACCTGTTCTCACCACACATGAAACATAACAAGCTTCTCTGATGCTATATGGGGATGAGGGAATTTTGAAATTCTATCCACTGAGTTACTCATATAACACAGATTCAAAAAAAGTTGGGACACCGTGTAAAATGTACACAATGATTTTCAAATCTTTCTCCCCCGAGCACACAGAGCTTTCTCCAGATTTTGAATCATTTGATGATATAATGTCCTGTAGATGATGAGATATTCAGTCTTCACAATTCACAAAGGTTGAGGAACATTATTGTGAAATTTGTTTCACAACTTGCAGACAGAGTTTTATGCAGATTGGTGAACCTCTGCCCATCTTTACACGTGAGAAACTCTACCTCTCTAAAGTCCAGCTTTATAGAGACGAGTTGCCATCATGAATGTTAAAATGAGCAAATATTTTTCATGGACCAGTAAAATGCCTCAGCTTGTACCTTTGATATGTTTGCATTTTACACAGCGTCCCAACTTTTGAAAAAAGCTATTGAAAAAAACTGAATCTTTTTGGTTTGTGTGACCTGAATAAAAACATTTCATGATTCTTATGTAAATGTTTTTGCACATCCCTACGTCATGTGAGGTCATGCAGAGAGAATCACCTGTCAGAGAGAGGGTTGTCTGAAAGCAGAAGAGAAGCTTCATCTAAGAAGATGAGATGACAAAGAGGAATGAGTTAGATGTAGAAGGAATAAAAATCCATAAACAACAGATTAAAGGAAATTACACTGCTAGGAAGGAGCTTAAGGTTTCAACAAAAACCACAAAGCACTAAAAAAAAACATGACTGAACACGAGTCATATAAATGAAATCAGGCTTTTAAAAAAGGAAAAAGAAAAGGTCACAAAGCAACATCAACATTAATTGAAACCTTGTAGTTTTTGCTGGTTGTTGAGAATTTTTCGAATCTCCATCAGCCAGGCAACTTTCACCTCCACCGTGGGAGCCTAATAGAGACACAGAGTGAAAATAACACACTACTAAGACACTGAAAAGTCTTTTCAGTTACACTTAAAATAGAAAAAAAAGAGCATCACATACCTGAACTATGTACACCACTTCTCTGCTGCTATACCAGATTTCAAATTTTTTCACATCTCCTTTCACATTTTCCGTGATTCCCACTGCACTCATCTACAGACAGAGAGAAAAACCGTAAATTGGAAAAATAAAGTGTTTGAGTCGCCTGATAATGTGAGAGAGTTTTTCGTGTTATTACTCTGAGGCACGATTTGAAGCTGTAGAAGGGCGTCCTGTCGTGGTTGTCCTCGTCTCTGCGCTTGCAGAAGAGCAGGGCGTGCTCGTAGAGGAAGAGGTGCCTCTGCATGGGTTTGAATCTGGCCAGCTCTTTCATTCGCACCGCTGCCCTTTTATGGCTGATCCACACGCTAAAGCTGCCTTGCATCACGACACGACCCAGATGGCTGAGATCACCCTGTGTCATGGAGACAGACAGATGGATACACTCAAGACTCAAATCTGCAGCTTGCCAGCAAAGTAATATACTGAAGGTTTTTCCACACGCACAATCTATTCTCATCACAACCAGTAAGAAAGATTTTGTGCTTTGCTCTAATAAGATTAAGTGTGATGAAAGGTCATAAATCTGCGAACCAGTAATGTGATTGTGTGTCTGCTGTTTTATTTGTTGATTTGACTGGCTGGTACCTGATATCCGGTGATGGCTATTTGATGCATGGAGTCATTGACAGACTTCAACAGCTCCAGCATGGAGTCCAGAGCCTCCTGGAGTTCACAGCGGTATCGCTCCTCTGTGCAGTGCTTTAAAAGCTCCTGAACAAGGACAGGCACACAGCATGACATGTCAGTGGATCTTACTTTATCTAATCTGGTCTGCCTTGATGTCTGTCCACTTAAATGGCTTTATGCACATGAAAATCATTGTCAGCCTGTCTGTGACTCTGCAAATTGAATAAATGGATCCAACCTGTTGCTGTCGATTAGTCTCTGTGCCTTTTAAAATTGTGCGTGTCCACAAAAGTCATTTTTATTTGTCTGCATCTCTGTTTCTGTTGAAATAACCTTGTCTCTCTGTGCCAGCGTCATTTTGTCCATGCGTCAATTCAGACAAAAGCAATTACTGTATGGACGGCTCGTCCACATGAGATATTACTGCTATTAAAAAAAAGCACAGCAAAAATAATAATTACCGCTAATAGAAAAAAAAAAAAACAGAGGTCAGGACAAGAACCGCAGGCTCACAGAGCTCAGTCTTCTATCAATACTCCCTCTTGCAGCTCAAAGTTCAACGCACAGACATTTTCAATTATGAAACATGTTTGTTTTCCTGACCTACTTTGCTGTAGCCAATAACATTAGAAGCACTTTTTTTCCGGTGATGAGTTGATACACTTTGCGCTGTATGAGGGTGCTGTTAAATTTTATGGCCTGGATGATGAATGTCTGAGAAGATTTTGGTACATGACTTACCAAGTAATACACAATAACATAGTGGATGAAAGCAAATATTAACATTTTCACCACCGGAGTATTTATTTGAGCTTCTGAGGGACTCATGAATCAGTAATCATTCAAGATCTCCCTGAATATTTTTGTTCTATGAATACAGATGCACACTGTAAATCATGAGAAAGTTAGGATTTTTTAACACAATTGCATGTTGTAAAAACATTGATTGCTGTAATATTTTGTGACTGGCAGGGGTGGTGCTAAGTTGACGGTAAAAACCCCAGAAAATAGTGAAAATAGTGAAAGATCATGTATTGCATGTATTGTTCATTTGTAATACAATATCTGATTTTAAGCTTTAGTAGCTATGTTAGTAGCATACTGATCTTTATTAGGTATATGAAAGTTTTTTGTTATCAGCAGTTGTAATTAGAGCTGACCTATACAGAGACCGATATTTGATGAACATCAGTATTATAAAAATCTGCTATTATGATATTTCTCCAGACACACGACACACAAAGTGCGAACAGATTTCTCTGATATTTGTCATATGTATTGATTTACTCATAACACGGTTTAAGTGTGTTCCGGTGTCTCGTTTTTATAAATGTCAATAGCAATAAATCAGCAAATAGCTAATATCGAAAATATCGGATACGTCAGTCGGGCTATTAATGAAATTATAAGTCAAAATTTACATTTCTTTATTATACATTGAACACAGACTAAGAATTATTCATTTCAGTGAGTGACCTGCATTACTAATAAATTTTTATAGCTCAAATGTAGAAAACCTTGAGCAGCAGCTGGTACTTGGTGAGGCGTTGGACTGGTTTCAAGAGGTAAGAGTCCAGACCTAACTTGTGATCAAGCTTCTTCTGGCACTCCTGCAGAAAGAAAGAACAGGACACAGAGATAGAGAGATCAAAATTAGTGCTGTCAGCGTTAATCTCGTTAAAATGACGTTAACTCCATAACCGCATTAACGCGGATCACCCCGTGCGAGGGGCTGCACAGTGCTAGCGCGTTAACGAGCTAACCGCGCTGACGCTATGCAGCCCTAGCACGGGGCTAGCCGCGTTAACGTCATTTTAATGAGATTAACGCTACAGCACAAAATCCATTCTGAACAAAAACTGTGCCATAACTACAAAGTGAAAGTGAGTGCATCGTGTTAAACGTGTGCAACTACCTGAAAGAACAGCGAATCAGCACACTGTCTCCAGAGCAACTCGGAGCGAGGCTTGTTTTGGCAGTAACGCTCGTACACCTGGAACTTTTCCTTCTGCTCACACACAAATGTACATTTAAACATATTATGTTATATCACACGTAAAGTCCTCGTGTTTTTCATCACATCTTCCCTCACCCTTTTCAGAAAGCAAGCCCCCACGCTCTCTGGTGTCTCCAGGCAACTCTGCAGATCTTGGAGGAAGATCCTGCAAGGAGAAACCAAGAGGAACATAAAAGGAAATTGGATCAGCATGAAAAGACAGAAAGGGACAGGAACAGCTTGTGAGCTCTGTATGTTTGTGTGTGCGGCTTGCCTGCTGTGGAACTGGTAAATCTCTGGCATGTTGCCGAAAAGAACGTCCTTCTGGCTGCGCAAAGCTACAGGAAGAAGATTAGCCACAGAGGGGTCCTCCATTTCTGCCCTGTAACCCTGATAATTGCAGGGGCGAGAGGTAGTCAAGGGAGAGGAGAGATGGTAAGGCAAGCCAAAGAAAAGGAGAAAGTTTTAATTAAAAAAGTCAAGAAATACAAAATGACAAAACAAGTCTGGAAACCCTGTCATCTGATGACCACTCCGTGGATACTCTGGCCAAGACTTGTTCTTCTGTGCCCTGGTTAATGTTGACGTTGATGAAGACAAACTAGAAAAGCTAACAAACAACTAAATCATAACCAGGTAATAGCCAGTGGTTTCAAGATTGCCCAAGATTTCAAGATATTCCCTCCTCATGCTGTCAGTGTTACCCAGACTAAAAATTAAATCTAGAAAGCCCCTGTACCTAAAATACTGCCCATTACTATTCTGTATACAGATATGTATATCTATAAAAATTATGAAATATCCAACAAACCAAACAATACCATCAAATGATCTAAACTAACTCACCAGAAGGACGGAGAGCAGTTCATCCACATAGATCCTCTCTGTAGCTATCAGTTCCTTCATAATATGGCTAAAAAGAGTGAACGTAAACATAAACAGACAAAAAAAACAATGTAAAACTACTGTGTAAGCTCTGACACTCACACAGCAAGAAGCTAAAAGGCTCCTAAACGGATCACACACATACACCTAAAACAACTAGCAACATTAGAGTCACAATTAACATTTAAGACTGTACCGTGTGACCTGCTCTGGGTTGTCCTCTGCCTCTGAATCAGTTTCAGGGTTGGGTCCATATAGACAGCTGCGGTTGCCTTGGTAATCATGCATCACCTCGATCTGACGAAACACATACATATCACGTCAGCTTAAACTTTCCGTGGAAAAGTGAGTAAAAATACGCGTTTTAAACACGTGATAAACAGAGAGTCTGCAGATCTGTTGCCAAAGTTGCCCTTTCTCATAGAGCACACAGCAGTGAGACACACTCCTTCTACTGGAAATATTATTCTGGTGCATGCTGGGAGATTAAAAATTGTTTAATGTTGCATGCCCATTGGGTAATGTCTAGTAAGTTCAAGTTTTCTCCTGCAGTGAAAGAGGAAACACACACACGTATATGTGTACATATATATAGACACACACCTTGGGTTGGCTGTTGTTCCTCCTTGCAGCCCTCTTGCCGGGAAGCAGATCAAAGGAGAACTTGGAGTTCAAAACATTAAAGTCTACACCTGTGGAGGATATCGCACATATAAGAAAGAACAAAAAGGAAATGCTGGCAAAAGAGCAACAGCTCAAGACCTTTAGAGCGCAGTCAAGAACAAAGCTTGGTTAAACTGTTGAATGCAAGAGGGACATGGAGGTAGGATAGGGAGATAACTGTGCCCAAGAACATCCTACTCAACAACAGACATGAACCTCTTCAATGCTCAAAATATCTCCTGTGCTTTATCATACTTTCTACTGCAAAACAGGAAGAAACCCCATTAGGATTGAATTGTTGAGTGTGTGATAAGAAGAATGCAATGGAAGATGTTATACCATGTTTGGGGGAGAAAAGGGGTGACTTGCAACGCTGGAAAGTCTGGTCCGGTTCTGGCCGAGGGGCCACCAGCTGTATGGGTCGGACCTGCACGTCCGCCAGCTTCCTCAGACACTGCTCCCTGTTTCTGATCATGCACTGCATTGAGTTCAGCTTCTCTGTCACCATGGAAATCTGGGACTGGACAGACACAGAGCTACTATAGTAAACAACAGTGGTGTCAAATATATGTGTGTTTGTGTCAGCGGTTTCAGGTTACCTGTAGCTGCGGGGTGAGTATGGCTTGAAATTCAAAGCTGAGAGTATCCTGGCTGTTTTTCATGGCTGATGGCGCCCTCTCCTGGTGGCAGCTGAGGTACTGCAATGCTTCCTGAGCTCCTTCTCTGGTTTGGAACTTGTCCACCATCTGGCTGGCCAGTAGATAGGCGCCCTCGTCGCACCAGCGAAGGGCCTGCTCACAAAAGACTGCTAAATACAAGACCGATTCCATGGCAACACTTTGTGCTACAAGTAAGGTGAATGATTGCTAACAGAGCAAATATTTGCTTCAGTCAACAACTGACTTGCAGATGAGAGACTTTTCTTTGTCAAATGTTTCTCTAGGACAGAAGAGCCTAGAGATTTATAGATTTATAGACAACTATAAATAGAGGCATATTTGTGATTTGGGGCTTTATAAATAAAAATGACCTGATTTTCATTAATGGCAAGAAAAAGATTCACAAGTAGATCATTCAGTCAAAAATGCACAATCATCAGTGCATTAATTTTGCTGTTTTCATTTAAGTTTGTATGCACACATCTTTGCATTTCTGCACATGTGAGAGTGGCCTGTGAACATTTTTACCTCCTCAAGGCAGCCCAGCAGGTCTCGTGTTCGAGTGAGCGAGGCCCTCTTGGTGCGTATGGCGATGGTGATGACATCACAGTAATGTCGCAGCTCATTGCAGCGCTGGATGATGAGCGCCAGGGCGTAGTGGTGGTTTGCAGCCAACTGGTGACCGTGTAGAATCAACACCTGGGCACGAGCCATCTCCTCCTGATTCAAGCAGAGACAGAGGTTTGAGGTTTTAATGACGAAAAGGTCAGACAAGAACGAACCTGAACAACATGCAAACTCCATCAGTACAAATTATAAGAAAAGCCTGCCAAAAGCCATAAATGTGTTATGTTGGCTTTGTTATGTTTTGGTGAGTTTTGTTGTGCATCTAGTTTCTCCTTCCTCTTGTGTTCTCCTGTCTTGGTCAGACTTGGTGTTAGTTTTCATGTCTTAATGTTAATTATTTAGTTTTTAGCTTATTCCTGTTTAACTCTAAAGCAGCGGTCCCCAACCCCCGGGCCTCGGACCGGTACCGGTCCGTGAGTCGTTTGGTACCGGCCCGCGAGAGTTGAGGTTCAGGTGTGAAATGTATAGTTTTCAGGGCTTTTATCGGTTTTCAGAGTTATTTTGTTATCGTTTTTATCGTTTACTCGGTTTTCCTTGGTCTTTTCACGTGTGTTATGAATAAATTTCTTTTTTTCGGTACTGGTACTAGTTTTATTTTGTTGTATTTATCCGCGACACCTTAAAGGCCGGTCCATGAAAATATTGTCGGGCATAAACCGGTCCGTGGCGCAAAAAAGGTTGGGGACCGCTGCTCTAAAGGTTATTTCCATCATATAATTGTCTCCCCAACCCTCATAGTTTCTAATTGCTGTGGACTGTTTCCACCTGTGTCTCATCATTCTCACCTATATATAGTTATGCTTTTCCCTCCTGTCCTTTTCAAACCATCTATGGCACTCCTGTCTTTCTAAATCGCATTTTTTCATGGTGGACTTTGTCTAGTTTTGAACAGAAATATAAAAGGATTGCATTTTCTTGATTTGTTTGTCTCTGGGTCCTGCATACGGGTCCTCTCTACACCACACTATGTGTGGAAGAGTAATTAAAATCCCACTTTGACCCGCTCTGTGTGCGGAGGTCTCTTGCTACTAGTTTTCTGCTAGCAGAATGCCTTTGCAAGTGCTTGGAGAGATATGACGTCATATTTGCTGGAGTTCATAGCTGTTTTTGGCCAGAACAAAAATTGCACATTACCAACACAATATTGAGAGTTCTCATGATGGTTTGAAGAAAGTGCATATAGCTGAAGTTTAGAAGAATCTGTGGGATGCTAGGTTGTGCACCAAAGCGAATTGGTTTTGATAGCCAGTGGCCAGAATAGACTTCATGGGTATATAACCCAGTTACAGATATCACTGAAATGACTCGGCCTGCTGCTCTCCCTGCCTCAGGCTTCCTATGTGTCCACATGGAAGGGAAGGTAGATTTGTCTGGTATTGTGTGTTTGCTTGTGTGGGTGATTGCTGCTGCTCTCGCTGCCTGCAGGCATTCAATATATGAGCATTGAAGGGCAGGAGGAATGCTCTCTTTGCCTTTGGGCTTTCCACATATTCTCCTTCAGCAGATTACTGCTGAAGGAGAATAAATCCTATTTTGGATAAACAGATATACATTTTGGCCCACTTGCTAAATTTCTTCAAGTCACATGTAAGATGTTAATTGTGTGTGTGCATGTGTGTCACCTGAGCACGTTTGTCCAGTGTATCCAGGTCTTTAAGTAACTGTTCTGTCTGAACCACTGTGTTCCCCAAACAGGCAATCTCCTTCTCCTGGGCAGAGAGCCGCTCCAGGACCTCCTCCATCTACACACACGATACCAAATACAAAACAGTGTGACTCTGATCATGAACTACTACGACTCGTGAAAAGACATCGGCACCACTTATCACACCTGCTGGAAACTACTTTCATAGTGTAGCAGCTGGAGGTACTGCTGCAGCTTCAGGTGGTGTTTCTCAAAGAAGCCATCGAATGCCTCCTCCATGTCTCCGAGCTGTGCCAGGAGCCTAAAACACACAGGCCACATGACACAACTGTCTACTAAAAGAACGATTTAATAACATTAGAAAAGGGTATTAAACTGAGAGTGTGTCTTTCATACTCAAGCCGAGCTTCACTTATCCTCTGATGGTTTACCTCTTAACAGTGTCCATGTCTGCTTGTATTTCCCTCTCCTCCTCTGCATCTCTTTTAGAAGCTTTGACAGTTTCCAGGTTTGACAGCAGGAGGCGTCCTTCTTTCAGCACATTCCTGATATCATCCTAGATCAGTACAAAATTGATGCAAAAAAAAGAGAGAGAGAATGATTAAGTACAGAAAGTGACAGATACAGTGTGGGTGAGCAGAGAGAGGCAGGAAATGATTGGGAGCAAAACACCACCTTCATCTGTCGGTATCGGTGTGTGTGGGAGTGCAGCAAGAATTCGATGGCGTTAGCCTCATCAGGAAGTTCGGCGTCTGACAGCTCTGATCCGAAGCTCTGGAGCAGCTGGGCAATCTCTTTAACTGTCACTGCAAACGTCTCGATGGACTGCAGGATGACACATTTTCACCCAAACCCAAAAAAAAGAAGAAAAAAAACACAGAAATAAATTATTTGTATTTCAGTTTTTTGATGGTTCTCAAAATTAGGCATGTAAATATGTGGAAAAACTAAGTACACCTAATGATTCAGGAGCTTGTTGAACAACCTTTAGCAGCAATAACTTGAAGTTTTTTATACGACTTTATCAACTCCCACATTTTGGTCCACTCTTTGATTGAGGTTTGCAGGAATTTGTTTTTGCACAGCTCTCTTAAGGTTTCTCTGAGCATTGCAATGTCTGATCTTGGGGTGAATTTGCTAAGACTCATCTCCTGGGAAGAGTGTAGCATAGTGTTTACAACCACTTACATGCTCCTTTTATAAGAGTTGGTTACACTTGCCAATTATCAATTAATCAAGTGCATTTGTTTAGGGGTACGCGGATTGTACTTAACCTTTTAACTCCAAAGGAAGCACTAAACGTGTACTTAGTTTGTAACAAGACTGTATATGAAAACTTTCTGTTTCACATGAGTATATAATACAAAAGAATTAAACATAAAGTAAAAGATCAAAAATGAAGGCTTAGAATATTTATAAAGACACATTTTTACATTCCCAGAACAAGCTATCATGGCCTGTTAAATTTAGCAGCATAGACAGTTGTCCTGGATACTAACAGAATTAGCATGACAGAAAACATGCCTAGATAAAGTGGATTATCTAGTATCTGAAGTGCGTACTGTTCGGAGGACGACCCAGTCGCTTTGGCAGAACTGCACTTTTGCAGTGAAGTCTGTTGTCAAGTGATTTTCATCAATGTAGCGCAGCAGGTCGCCAACAGAACGCAGCATCACCACCTAGAAAACACAAACGCGAGGTAACCGGCTGTTACCTGACCAGTGTTGCACTGCAGCTGGCATTTTAAAAGGTGACAAAATGAAATATACATGCACAGGAGTGCTCTAGTTTTTAACCCCTTCTCTCACCGGCATCTTTAACAGAAAGTCATCCTGACTGAAGCGAAAGCCCAGGTCGGTGCTCGATGATGGACTCGGCGCAGAGCTTAACAAACTGCTGGGGTTGAGCACCAGGATCAAATGTAGATTGCCTGGAAATGAGGTCTGAAAGAAGAAACGATATCATTCCCTCAATTTATCAGTCATTCAAAGAAATGATTGGTATGTTAAATGTTTGTGAAATAAAGGTAAGCATTATTTAGCACAAGCGATATTTTTCCCATGTTGTTCATGCTGCTGTGGTTATGTGTCCTGCTAAGGGGGCTCACCCCACAGATTGACAACACCAGAATTAAAGAAAAAACTTGCTGCAACATGTCCAAATGCAATATCTAATATGCGAAAAGGCCCTCTTCATGTACAAGCACAGCAGTCAATTTCTGGTAGCTACTTGAGTTGGGCCAATGTAATTAACTACTACTAGGTGGACTAATTGGTTTCTAATGAAGTCTAAAAGAGTCTTATTCAGAAATGTGAACAAACTCTAATTCATGGGACAGAAAAAACAACAGCCTAACAATGTGGTAACTGTGGACTGCAGTGTGAGAGGGTTGAAAAAAGTCAGACGAGTCATTCAGAGTCACTGACAGCTGGGTGTTGTTTGTCATGGAGTCTAGCAAAGCTCAACACAGCCTCAGCATCCCTCTGTGTCAATCTGGGGAGTCTTTCAGCCTCTGCAGCACTTCAGAAGGTCTGACGGTCAGCTTCTCTGGCTCACTCTGCTCTATGGTCACTCTTCTCTCTTTTTCACATCACCTGTCCACATCTCTCCTCTCACACCACAGACTGTAAACAGCATCCGCTTTACAAACTCAAAGAATGCCACACCTTCTGTTGCCACTGAAGTATTACTTTTTCCACATGCTGCAAGGTTAGTCATCAAGCATGTTTACTCTTTCTTCATAAGCCTGCCAGTGTTTCCATTTATCCAGTTTCCCTCTCCTGTGTGCAGGCTCAGATAACATGAGGCTGAGGAGTTAATAAAAATGGAGAAGACTTCTATATATAATGTAAGTCTCTTTCAAATCTGAGAAACCTGGAGGGAAGTTTATCTGTGTCTCATGATGCATTATTTTCACTTGCTCATCTACTGATGTGTGCAGTGTAATCTAATACACAAGCAGAACCTCAAGGATGCCTCATTAGGTTTTGTTTTTTTAAAGCGCATTAAAAGCCATCAAGTCTGTTATCAACTATAGCTGTGGAGCTTTTTTTGGACACCAAATACCCAGACTGATACTCTGCGCACACTACAAATGTCCCAGGTAAATAATCACCCAACTGCACACAGTCCCTCTTGATATTTACTAAAACAGCAGCCATGATGGAGGTAACTTGATAGCTGCAGACTTGTAGGCACATCTGCACCAAACAACTGCACAGAGATTTGTGTGAGTACTTTAAATACACAGGTTTCAAAATGTGTTACATAAAGCTGCACAACTTGATCCCTCTGTGTGTACAGACTGCAGAGCCAGAGCTGATACAGCCTCTTGCTGTTCTGCACCTGCAGCTACAGCCCAAACATTTGTCATTGGCCTGTCCTGGTCCCCGACACAGGCTCTTTAACACTGAACTGCCGTCCAACCGCGACCCCTTTTCTTAGGCGTGTTAAATATGTAATGCGGTGCGAACACATCCCAGCCTCTGTGTCGCAGCACCTAGCAGCCTTAAGAAAAGCTCGTCTATATCTCCGCTGCAGCATCCTCATTCTCGCCACCCCGTTTAAAGCCTCCCACCTCCCGGCGGATCTTACCGCGGCCCGGCGCAGACGGGGGAACCCCCGTAGTGGGTTGGACTCGGCCATGGCTTTTTAGCGCTTCCTTGTTCTGCCCTGTCCTCACTGGTACCCGGAAAGTCCGCAGCGGGACGTGGTGTCGGGGACGAGCAGCCGCAGAGATGGCACGGTAACCTCCACTGCAGTGTCCGGATAGGCAGAGCGGCGCGCACCTCAGCAGATGCACTTCTGCTCTGGACCAGGATGGTGGGGTGTGCTTCACCTGACGTCAAAGCAAAAGGAAGTTGGCCGCTTTACACTTACACAAGTCTACATTATCATCATTATTCCTGTGACCAGACGAAATTAGAATTAAATCACTCGACTTACTGTTCGGAGACTGACAAACTCTGCACAATAATATTATATTTGTATTATAATTTATTAGCTTTAAATCTCACATCGCTGACACTGATCGTAAGTCATAAGATACCGGAAGATTATCTATGAAACAGGTGTACAAAAAATAAATAAAAAAATAAATAACATTGAAAGCTGTATGGAAATATGCCACTGGTCTCGCTAGATGGCGCTTGAAACTCAGGATACGATGAGTCACCTGCGGACCACCTTTTGGCATCAGAAGCACGTGAACATGAGGAAGCAGAGGCATTAGTGAAATCTAGGGGCAGCACAGCTGAAGATAGAGGTGTCACTTTAAGTGGCGTATAACAGTGAATTAATGAATGCATGTATGATATTTATTTATTGACATGGTATGAGGGAGGAAAGATTAATTTAATGACAAGTAAAGATGGAAAAATATCCAAATATCGATAGTATTGTTACAAACACTGGCATCAGTATCTTTGTTTCTATCTTCAAAGTCTCTTCAAAGACTGTATATATATATATATATATATATATATATATATATATATAAACCTGTAGAAAATCATGAAGACTGATAATGTCTTAAAAAAATGTTATCTGACTAGTCTTTCTCATGCCACAGCCAACAGGTTAGTCAGTACTTTGGTATTTTTTTTATTTACCTATTTATTTAAATATTTGTTTATATATTATTGTATTTGCAGCAAAGGTGTCCGTAAATAAAATCAGCAGAAATCATTTGGCATACAATGAAACTGGCCTTGTGCGGTCCCCGAGGGTGCCGAGCCCCTGGGCAGTTGTTGCTTTGCTTCACAGGTAATTCAACTTTTTAAAAAAGCGTCTTCATCACATAACTCATAATTAATGGAAAAGCTCCTAAACAGATAAATATATATGTTTTAAATTAGTTTCATTTGCCTAATGTTTTATCTGAGCTCATGTAATGTTGTCTTGTTATGTTTGTTTATACTTCATATCGTGTGCCTTACCTCGTGTCATTTCATTCTGTCCTAGCCCATAAATAATTGATTAAGCTGGATTTGGCCTTTGGCTGATTCCCCCCATCAGACACTCCTCATAATTACTAGTCTGTTTAGTCTGGAGTGTGTGCCTTAAAAAGATTCAGCCACCTCCGTCAGTGCCTTCAGTCAGCTGGTCCCAAAATAAAGCCTCTCAGGAGCACGAGAGGCACCGACTCGGTCTTTATCGATCAGGTGCTGAAACAAGTACACTTGTTTTAGCACCTGTTACACCACATATACTTCTATTTTCAGGCATGTTATTTATGCCTATTCACCTGTGGAACTGTTTCCCAAAATAGGATACATAAGCTTGTATTAGCAGAACAAATGTTCACATAAATAAAATGAATGTAGGCCACTGGAACACTCACGGCATGATTTAAGAGCAGTAATTATACTGCATCCAAATGTGTCCCCAGGACTCAAGAAGCTGTCTGAACATAATCAACAATTGCAGGTACAGCGATGCCATTTAATTACCATCTATTATATGAAGTTTTACAATACATTAAGTAGGTAGGGGATGTATTTCTGTTTTTCTCTCTTTAACCCACTTCTTTGTCTCATTTTCTCCTTTGATTCCAGTTTCCAACCAATCAAAAACTACTCAGACTAAATCTGTTTCAAAGATAAAATCTGTGTACTATACTAACATTTTGTTTCTTCTGAGTATTTATGCGCATATTGTGTCTAAGCAACTGCTGTTGATCAAACTGCTGCCTAATAAGGCCAAGTCACTTCTGCAGATTAGATTTTAAATCTCTACGGCCCCACTTTCTTGCTTAAATTAAAGTTAAATACTATTAAAAACATATTTTCAGTTTGTCTAATGCCAGACATACACTATTAGTAGATATTCAAAAGTCAAAGATACTTTTTTCCACCATTTCTTTGGATACAGATGAGTGTGTTTGTCCTACAGGGCGATCCTCCTTAGAGGCAATCGCTCTGTCACATTGTGTTTAGGTTGATGGTTTAAAGGGCGCAAGCCAGAGACACAGTTTCCAAGAAACATCAGCAAGTGACAGAAAAAACCTGTACCTACTATTTCTGTTTTATTTCATCCCACCCAGATCAAGAATACGTGTGGTTAAAGTCCAACGTGGAAAAGGCATTAAGTAACGTCTCCCTCTTGGCGTCAGATCTTCCCATTGCGTCAAACGAATAAAGAAAACAAAAGCTGGAAAATGCTAAAGCTCATAAAGGCTGTGCAGAACACCTCACCGGGATTATGATTGTCATTAAGGACTACGTTAAGCCATGTTTGGTACAACACAGTAACCCCTGACTTGTGGGGTGTCCAGGTGGCCTAATCTCTGTTAACCTCGGCTTAACTCCAGCAAAGGTCTTGTCATCCTTTGGATGCAATAAAAACACTACATTTACATTTACTACATTTTTAAAGCTTTCTGTCTCATAATCAAGGATCTTTTTTAACTAAAAAATATTCCCTAGTATCCCCATCAATCCTAAAATGTTTTACTTTACGTTCCTATGTTCTTCATTCTTTTAACATAAGCTAGTTATAACGGACCTGTTGGAGGATTAGGAGCTTTTCAAGGGTCAAAGGGGATTCTGGTGATTCTCCTTAATCTTTGGCACGTTACTTAGACACTGTTGAATAAGAAAGCTTATTCTGACCTCACCGTTGATACTCCCGTCATCTGTACCATATTGGGAGAGGGAACTGTTAATCTGTTGAGAGCAGACAGACTGGAGTACTAGGAATCTATACACGGCTGCACACTGGCTTAAAATAAGAAAACATTTGAAACCTTTATCATATAGGTTAGTTTATTATTTCATCTCCCTATCAAGCATATAGCAATACTCTTGAATCTGATATATTTTTTAAAATGTTTGTGTTTTTATGATTGTAAAAGAAAAGAAAAAAGAACAAATAACACATAGATACCCAGCTAACCCATATTTACAGATAAAGGTGCTGCTCACAGATGCAGTTTTTAATGCAAGCTATAAAGATGTTCAACACAATTTTTTTGATGGGGAAAAAAATCCATCAGAGAAAGAAAACGTTGATTTTAAATGGCCTGTTTTGTTGTGCTTTCTGAATCAAAGGAGATTTGAGTGATTTGTGGAGGTGCAGAGGGGGATTATCGGCCTACTACAGCCGCATGGCGACTGTGAGGTTGTATTTATGTCCCTGTGATTTAGATGGCTGCACCTTTTGTTGTCCGAAAAAAGCTGCTCTCTGATTGCTTAACAGGATTATGAAGCAGGTAAAAACAGCAATAGTGAACTGGCTAAGCCTGAAGGATGCACAGAGGGAGGCAGGTATAAAAAGGGAGCTCAGCTGTAGACTGCACTCTCAACTTATCCTGACATCCTTCACCACAGTCCCAGACTACTAAGAAGAGGTAAGAATTCTTCATATTCACAGATGAATGAATGAAAGGATGGATGTGTAGTGGTGAAACTAATTATGAAGTACAGTTTTATGCCTGATAGCCCCCTGCAACCTTGAATTGGATAAGTAGCTATGAAAATGAATAGAGGTCAAAGGTCAAATGGTGCAATGGTGAAAATCATTGAGTTATGCTCCACTGTGGGGTTGAATAAGGATGATGGAAGTCATTACAGTATATACGTATTGCATTGTTTTAATAGGCCATTAAAGTTAACCGACAGGTTCTCTCTGAGGCCATATCTACAATCAGTGAACATATGTAAGAATGCTTGTGTATGGAGGCCAGGTAAAAAAAGAGCCAAAATAGTGCAAAATAAGAAGAAAATAAGAAGGCAAGTTCAATTCAATTCAATTTTCAATTCAATTTTAGCTATACAGCGGCAAATCACAGCAACAGTCGCCTCAAGGCACTTTATATTGTAAGGTAGATGCTACAATAATACATATGTAACAAAAACATCTGCTTTCTGTGGCTTTCAGTATGTCTACTAAATTATCTGCAGACAAGAATGCTATTTAATCACTGTAAAATAGAGTAATCGACCAATAAATATTAAATATAGTGCTCTGTGGTTTGAGCAAGAATCTAACAAAGGCATAGTTCAGTATTTTTGAAGAGGTGTGCAACAATCACATATGCTGAAATTGCACAGCAATTAGTCAATCAGAAGAGAGGCAGGAAGCTGCTGTACCAGCTCCTGGCACTGAAATAAGTAACTGTAGCCCAAAGCAACTTTAGACTGAAGGCATCTGGGTAATTAACAAAGACTTTATTCTCATTCTTTGCATTTATCCATAATCTTTGTATTGGAGATTGGAGATTGGAGTTGACACAGAAGGTGCCAATAGAAAAAAAACCCAACAAATTTCTAAAGAGAAATATGATGTGATGTTTAAAAATATATAAGACCAAACAACCTGAAGACTGGAGATTATTTTGGAAGATGATGAGCAGATATGTTTGAAAATACGTATTTAATTAAATGCTTGTAGTGCTCTTAACCCTTCAGGACTAATCTTTATCTAGGAGTTATAGAGAGCTAAAGTCCTGGAATGCTATCTAAGGTGATGAATGGGTTTTATCCATTTAGTGTTCCTTAAATAGTCCAAAGACTTTGGCACTTTTAGGAGAAACATACTGTGACATAACCACGTGTGCAATGTAAATCTTTGGTTGTTTGTTGTGAGGTCACGGGGATCACTTAGCAGCCAGAGAAACACCAGTTTGGTGGAAGAGTCCTAACACCAGTGGCGTAATCTTATTGCAGAGGATTAACCCTCTGTACCCTCAAATAAAAGCATCACTCCAGCTGCCAGAGAGCTCTCAGTTATAGATCTGTGACCTCCTGATCACTTTTTGATCATTTGTTTTTTTCACCTTTCTTCCAACAGAATACTTCCAAAAACCTTCTAGAGATGGCAAAGTAAGTACTGGATACATTTTGTTTTTATCTTTATGTCCCAGAGGAACTGCTGATTCTAATCAAACTATTTAAAGATCTCTCTCTCTCATACTCAAAAAATATAACAATCCAAAGCTATTGTTAGTGGAAAGATGTTTCCCTTTTACCTAAAGAAAATCTGACAGGGGCCAAAAGGTTGATAAGAATCATGATCTCTTTGAAATTTGTGGAGTTGTAGACAGGATGGTCAGCCAACTCCTAAAAGGGACAATTATTAGAAAGTATTTATTTAAGGTCTGTAATAGGCTTAGTCTCTCAACATGCTCTTTCAAATATGGTAACACTGCTCTGAGCTTTATTTGATGACAGTGGTAATTGGTTATTTGGGGAACCCTCTTACAGCATTTGTAGCTCCCTCACCTGAGCCAGCCTCTCAATCCGGGCTTGATGAGGTAAAGCAGCTCCACGCTTAGCTATTACTAACTGGATAACGAGGAATAAAGGATTACCAGCCCTTCTGTCATTTGCCAAGAAACCAAATTTACCCACAGGGTCCAAATTGAATCACTATTTTATCTTGTTAAGCCTGACAGTAACTCCATGGATGTAAGTGGATGTACTCTTCTTTTAAAAACATGGGTTCTCCAGCTTTATTCAACATTTCACACACTTATTTCTGCCCTGGTTGCCAGGATAAGGAGGTTAATATTTTAACTGTAATCTATACAAAAAGGTTAATTTAAAGGTTGAGTGGTGTTTCTCCTTTTTGCTTCACAGGGTTTTCAAGAAGACCAGTGGAAATGGAGGGGTATGTTCTCTTTTATTCTCTTAAAACATTTTTTTAATAGACTGAAAAAGGGGTAAAACTTAAAAGGTTCTGAAACACTACGCTTTCCCTTCTTCAATGTGACAGCTGACCCTCTACCTGGGGAAGAGAGACTATGTGGATCATGTGGACAAAGTGGACAGAGTTGGTACGTTCCTATTACAGAGTGTTTTTTCTGTATTTGTGTTTGCCTGCGGTCATTATGAAGACAATAACTGTGCCTGTAATCCTGCTCCCTTGCAGACGGCGTCGTAAAGCTGGACCCAGCAGATTTCGGAGACAGAAAAGGTAGCGTCACATAAAGCGCCGTTTTAAATTGGGTTCAGTTCTATAAATAGAAGCTTTTGCCAATCACTGTGAAGTAGCTGATGTAATTACACCTGTCTACAGTGTTCGTGCAGCTGGCATGTGCCTTCCGTTATGGTAGTGATGACCTGGATGTGATGGGCCTGTGCTTCAGGAAGGACATCTGGATGCAGCAAACCCAACTCTATCCTAATGGCGAGAAGCCTGCCTTGAGTGCCATGCACGACACCCTGCTGAAGAAGGCAGGAGACAACGCACACCCTTTCTCTTTTGAGGTGTGTGACTCAGGACCACAAAATTAAGCACGACAAGCAGTTTATGACCTCAGCCATGTGAGAAAGAGTTGTTGTTTTTGCTTTTTTTTAGAAATTGTGCATGTAACATTCAATGACACATGATGTTACTCCACTTTAATACTGAGTATTTAATAGACATTTATATATTTTTTCTTAACGAGGAAAAGCTCAAATTAACAATTTCTTTCTTCCTGAATATCTAAAATTAGGCTTTATTTTGTAATTTCATGGAAGTAGCTCTTGCGTTTTCTTATAAATCTTAGTCTTTGTCTCCATAGATTCCAAACAACCTACCCTGCTCAGTCTCTCTGCAGCCTGGACCTGATGACAAGGGAAAGGTGAGGCATCCCTTTACCTTAGAGTACATAGGCAAGGATGTCACTTGTTTAAATATCAGCTGTTCACAACTGCACTGTACTTTGCAGGCTTGTGGCGTTGACTTTGAGATCAAAACTTATCTTGCCAAGGAAAAGAACAACCCCGATGAAAAGATTGAAAAGAAGTGAGTTCACTTCCACTAATGTCTTTGCCTTGCTATCTCGCCTCTCTTTGTTCCATTTCATTTTTCCTCACCTCATCTCTTCTTCCTTCCCTCTCCTTCGCCCTGACAGGGACACCGCCCGTCTCGTCATTCGTAAAATCCAGTACGCCCCGTCTCAGGTGGGCGCCGGGCCCAAGGCTGATATCTGCAAAAGCTTCATGATGTCTGACAAGCCCGTTCATCTAGAAGCTTCAATGGAGAAAGATGTACGGCAGCAAAATTTTAGCTTCACCCTGTTGAAATGGGAGCTGTGCAGTGAACCAATTAAAATCTCTCTCCTGTTTTGCCGCAGCTGTACTTTCATGGTGAAGCGATCCCAATCAAGATCAAAATCAAAAACGAGAGCAACAAAACAGTCAAGAAAATTAAAATCAGTGGTGGGTACCTCTATTCACTGAAATATTGAAATAAATCCTGAAAATGTTATAAAGAAATAACATTTTTCTATATCTTCCTCCCTGCAACAGTGGACCAAACCACAGACATCGTCCTCTACTCGGCAGACAAATACACCAAGTGTGTTCTTAACCAAGAGTTCGGGTATGTGGGCAGAAAACTGAAAGCACAGCAAATGTCACAGAAGCAAAATGAAAATATAAAATTGGGTCAATCTGCTCATGTGTTTCTTTTCACTCTCTGCAGAGAGACGGTGGACTCTAACGGCAGCTTCGACAACACTCTGACCATCACACCTCTGCTCGCTGATAACAAGGAGAAAAGAGGTTTGGCGCTGGACGGTCGACTGAAGGACGAGGACACCAACTTGGCCTCCACCACCATGTAAGTGCACACTGGTGTAAAGTTTGGGCGAAACACTCTTCTCTGTCGGTTCTTTGTTGCTTCACATTTCCATCCGCTTTCTTGTTCAGTGTCCGCAATGTCTCACAGTAGTACACTCAGCTAATTTAAACCCCTCTAATCCTTCAAATCCCTGCACTTCGTCCTCCACAGGCTGCGGCAGGGAGTAGAAAAAGAGGTGCTGGGTATCCTGGTTTCCTACAAGATTAAAATTAACCTCATGGTGGCTGGAGGAGGGTAAGTATTTTTTGACACAAGTAAATCCCGTTCAAGATTAAACAGAACGAAACGGCAAAGGCCGGCTTACGTTTTCCCTCTTTTCTCCATGTAGTCTGCTGGGTGGCCTCACTTCCAGGTGAGTAATATTTAGTGACAATATTATCACAATCCATACAGAAATGATGATTGCATGCATTCACATTATTTGGCTCAATTTTCTCTGCAGTGATGTCACATTGGAGCTCCCACTGAATCTCATGCACCCCAAGCCTGAAGGTATTTTTTTACCTTGTAGAGCCTAAAAGACTCCTAAAATTTTATATAAGTGCCTTTGAAATGATTTTAACTCTCGTGCCTAATTACATTCTCGCCTTTGTGCTAATCTCTTTTCTACACGGAGCAGAATAAGGAGTATACACTGGTGTAAGTTGTGTTTAATACTTTATTATTTACATGTTGTTTTGGGTGCTATCACCTAGACATTTCATTATTAGGACTTGACTTAGAAGCTAACAAATGAAAGCTGAATTTTAAGAAAATGTTTTAAAAATTGCATACAGTGTAAAATATAATACAATGAAAAACGTACATAAGCATATAAAATGTTAAAACAATTTGTATTTGAAATCAGCAGCATGTTTAAAAAGCTAGAATAGGTTTTTTATACAACTTAGGTGGGAAGAGGTTAACCCCCTCGATATGACATTGTTTGGTCAAATAGTTCAAAATGTTCAGCATGAAGTTAAGAATAATTTAATCCTTTTTTTTTAATCCTAAGAGTAAATATGTGGGAAACCCAGAGAAAATCATGCACAGGGGGAAAAAAAACATAAAATATGTCTGAAGATCACGCTCTTGGGAACAATATATCTGAACAAAATATAAAAGTTTAGAAGTACTTAGTTACTTTGAAGGTCTTTCCACATGTTACACGTATGAAAGGAGGATATCTGTGTAGTAAAAAAAAAAGTCTAAACTAGTCTGCCAACAGACTGTCAGTTCCAATATTGAGCATGTTGTCTTTGTCCTAATTATATAGTCTTTAAACTCATTAACAATGATTTCATTCTTTATTTAAATTACACAGAGTTCTACCTTTTTTAAAAATGGACCATATGTGTGATTTGTTTTTATGTTTCTTTTTCTTATTATTTCATTAATAAATTGAGCTATTGTTATTAATTTATCTGTATCCTTTTCCTGTTTTTACAGTGTCTTAAATGAAAACACCCCCATAGTCAAGGTGAGATTCAGCTATTACTATGTAACCTGCCATCTGCTATATTTATGAGTTTTTGTAAGATGAAAATTAAAGTCATTAAATGTGTTGACAGGATATGCACTGTTTTATATAGAACTTCCTCCAGGACATTGAGTTGATAACTGCTTTGCTTTTAATAATGTAAATTACAATTACAAATACATGAAAGCAATAGATTATGAGGAATGATTATGACACCTTATACTCTTAAAGAGGAAATTCTGATGCTAAAAAGTGAAGTATATTATATAATGACATCACAGATTCCAACATCTCTTTCTGTTTACTTCTCAAGAGAGGATGTTACCCTGGACACTGAAAAGAAACCCACAGGAACAAAACAAAAGGAAGTGACAAAAACAAAGAAAAAAGAACACGACTGGTGTCCTCACACCAAGTCGTTACAGAGCAACCGAGGACATCTACCTTTCAGACACACCGAGGATATGCGTACAGATGTAACATCAGTCCTCTTGCAGATTTCGTGGTCATGTTGAATAAATGTAATTTTAGCCGTAGAGAGAATGCTTGGATTGCATGTTAGTATCCAACATTTAGACACCCCAGACTTCTGTAGCAGCATGTTCTGATTATCCTTTGCATGTTTGCAGGATGTGATTGGAAGGCAATGAACAGAAAATCAGAGAGAAACCCTCAAAAGCTGATGTGCTTTTGATTATTGTGGTGTGTTCATTCATTATTTTGAATGATGTACTTCTCCATGTGAAATGTGCTGGATTATGGTTTAGACTGGACACATGAAACATCCCAAAATACAATAAAATCGCCTGAAAGACAGTTTTAAATGTTTTCTTTCTTTCTTAATTTCGTTGTCTTGTTTTCATTCATTGTTCACATCATAAGAGTAGATACTGGAGGGCACTTTACTTATGGCCAGAGGACTACTTTAGAAAATACGAATGCCAAAGATAGACTTTCAAGAAAACACTATCAAAACACTACTATATTCTGTATTGGAACTGAAGGACTGGATTCTAAACAAATGCTCCCAAAGACAACTGTTCTATAAATTTATGGGATGTAGGTGCTGCCTATAGGTAATAGTTTAGATGTGCAATTTCAATTAAAGTTGAATATATTTAGGCCGTAGCAGATATCTTCTCGACATAAAAACATCATGTCTGGGGTACACCTACATATTTACATATCCACGAACTTCCTGTGTTGTCTTCCTCTATTCCTGCCTGCTAGCTCCATGGTCAACCTCCTTCGTCCAATATATTTACAGTGCCTCTTCTACACATGTCCAAACCATTACAGCTTTGCTCTTCTAACCCTACTTGTCCCTTTGATCTAATTCTAATCTTCTCCTTTATCGTCACTCTCAGTGGAAATCTTAAAATCTTTATCCATCTTAAACCCGACTCTTACCACCCACCTCGCCACTGTCTCACCGTCCTTACACATGTCCTGCTCCAACCATTACTCCTTTTGATCTTCTCTGTACTTCTGCATCAACACTCTCAAAGCAAACATCACACATGTAGTGCGCTTTCTCAGCTTGAAGCCATACTGCTGTTCACTAAAAGTCACCTCTATTCGTAATTTAGCTTCCTCAAGTCTTTCCCACAGTTTTCAGTTTTCAGTTTTATTTGTCATATGCAAGTTAGCACAGGGTCAACATTGCAATGAAATGTGTTTGACGAGCAGCAGTCACTCAGCAGCATGGTACAGTAGAAGAAAATATAATAAAAAAAAATTAAAAAAAATAGAAAAACAGTTAAGAGCAAAATATTAGAGACGTGGTAAAAGAGAAAAGATGACTAAATATATATGTATCTATAAATATAAATACATGTACACTTGTGATTAAATAAGAAAATCTTGAAAAGAAATATGACGGGGGGGCAGATGGGATATTGTTTTATATTTT